AGGATGTAGGGTGATAGGGTAAGGTTTTGTGGCAGTTACATAATCTGGTGTCAATTTGGGACTTGAGAAGATTAAGGGTGAAGGGGTGGAGTCTAGTCTGTCAATCGGGTCATAGCCAATGAGGCCTCTGTGTGGGCATAGCCTTCTCCTGAGAATTCTGGGAAATCTGGTATATCCCACTCCTTAGCACAGAAATTGGATACCCAAAATTGGGGGGCGGGGGAAAGGCATGAAGTGGTTGACTTACAAACTTTTATAGGTGGAGGAATATATTCATAGGATTATAGGATTAAGGTGTAGGTGTTACTTAACAGCAATTGTTAGGCATAGGATATTTTTGTTTTGTCACTTATAGAATATTATGTTTAAATGAGGGTGGCACATATTGAACTGTATGCATTTTAATTTTATCCTATTAGGTAAAGATATGATTTTGTTATTATTTGTTTGAAAATTATATATGGCTATAGAGTAGTGGTTCTCAACCTGTGGGTGACCCCTTTGGGGGTCGAATGACCCTTTCACAGGGGTTGCCTAAGATAGTCAGAAAACACGTATTTCTGATGGTCTTAGGAACCAAGACACTGCTCCTCTATCTGTCCGCCCACATGCAGATACACCCACATATGAGTAGCCAGCATGAAGACTGTTACCCATGCTACACCATGCTTCAAGGCAAAATTTCATTTATTTGTAATTAGAAATAAATATTTCACAATATATAATTACATATTGTTTTTGTGATTAATCACTATGCTTTAATTGTGTTCAATTTGTAACAAGGAAAATACATCCTGCATATCAGATATTTAAATTATGATTCATAACAGTAGCAAAATTGCAGTTATGAAGGAGCAATGAAAATAATTTTATGGTTGGGGGTCACCACAACATGAGGAACTGTATTAAAGTGTCGCAGCATTAGGAAAGTGGAGAACCACTGCTAAAGAGTTATGTGAAAGTGTCAAATTGACAAGGGGTGATCTGTTATAATTACATAATCAGGTGTCAGTTTGGAACTTGAGTGGATTAAGAGTGAAGGGGTGGAGTCTAGTCTGTCAATCGGGTCATAGCTAATGAGGCCTCTGTGTGGCCATGGGCTTCTCCTGAGAATTCTGGGAAATCAGGTATTTCCTCCTTGGAGGCGGGAGACACCTCTCGCTCTCTATTCACTCCCTGGGAGACATTGCAGCTGACAAGACACATGAAACTCCGCTAGTGCCCTGCGCTGGAGAAGCCCCATGGACCTACCTGATGCAAGCAGACCTCTGAAGCCAGAGAAGCCACCTAGAGACCCCTGCCAGCGCTGGGATGCTTAGAACACCAATAAATCCAAAGACTTTTTACCCACTGGCCTGTGATCATCCTGCATTCGGCATAATTGCATGTGTTTCGTGAGTTTGAAGACGACTTTATAGACTGGTACCAGACATATGGGCTAGTGTCGGACTTATGGGCTTGGATGGGACTGGCTTGGGATGATTTCTTAATGTACAATTAACCTTTATATAAAACTCTTATACGCATATGTTTCTCTAGTCTACCCGGATTAACACAGGTTTCCCAATTAAATTCTTGTAGGGCATCCTTTGCTACTCGTTAAGAATGAGAAGGTGCATTGTTCTGATAGATTAAAAATGTTTCTCCCTTAATAGGTGCAACTTTCCTGCCTTCTCCCCCCACCCCACCATTGATGCAGTTTTCTATTTACCTTTAAACTGCTTTCTAATAAGGGTAAATTACAGCACTGTGTCCTTCGAGGAAATCTCTCGAGATGACCCCTTTGGAACCCTCCCAAACAGCCACCATAACCTTCTAAGCTGACCTCTCCACCTTAAATTGAAGGGGTCCAGCAACCCTCTTCAGAAGTTCTGCTTTTAACTGGACTCATTTTTTGAGGCACTTCAGCAAGACTAAGAGAACTGTGTTAGTGAAAGAAGTGGTCCACTGATCACAGAGACTCATTTCAAGGCCTTTTATTGTTTGGAATAAACTCCTGCACAAGCGAACTGGGACTTTTTTACTTACCCTCATACAGCACTTGGGAGGCTCTGGTGTGTGGGGATATGAGTGGTGTAAATTAACATTTTCCAAGCCCCCAGTGGTTCGCACTTCCAAAGCTTTTCATTAAACTGGAGCACATCATCTCTTTATGGTGTTTGACTGCAGCACGGCACCCACTTGTTCACCTTCACCACAGTACTCTGTCATAATTAAACCAGGCAAGATAACAGCGGAGACACATGATTAACATATTAATAAGCTTCTCGTCTTATGTCCTGACAATGTTACTCATTACTCATGATGCATCGCAAGGTGATCCTCCAGAGACACCTAAAGAGGAGCAAATGCCATCTCAGCAAAGGAGAGGTGACAGATTTGATTGCATTCATCTAGGGGATCATTATCAGCGAAAACAAACAGCAACACAGCTTCTGCTTAAGTACGCCCAAACTCAAGTCCACTGGCATCGAGTCCATTCTGACTCATAGCAACCCTACAGGCCATAGAGAACTTTCCTCGCAGGCTTCCCATGGCTGTCATCGTTACAGAAGCAGGCTGTCCTATTTTTCTGCTGTAGAGACTTGTGGGTTTGAACCACCTACTTTTCAGTCAGCAGCTGAGGGCTTAATCCCTGCACCACCAGGGATCCTACTTCAGTAGCAGTGAGTGGTGAAATGAATGTAGTCAAGAATGCAAAACAAGGGGAAGGGGAAGGTGAGAGGGAGAAAAGGGGAACTAATCACAATGACCTACCTCTAACCCCCTCCCTGGAGGATGGAGAACAGACAAGTGGGGAAAGGGAGACATCGGACAGTGCAAGACATGAATTTATAAATTATCAAGGGTTCATGAGGGAGGCAGAGAGGGAGGGGGAGGGAGGGCAAATTTGCGGATACAAAGGGCTCAAGTAGAAAGAAAATTCTTTCAAAACAATGATGGCAACATATGTACAAATATGCTTGAGACAATAGAATGTATGTATGGATTGTGATAAGAGTTGTACGAACCCCCAGTAAAATGATTTAAAAAGAAGAATTCAAAACAAGGGCTCCAATTTATTTTTCTTTTTAAATGATCTGAAGTTATTGAGAGCCATATGACCAAATGACTGATCAGTATTCATCCAAAGGATCAAGACTGGAGGAGACTGGGAAGACACAACTAGTATCATAGGGGATCCTAGATGGGATCCTCAAGACAGAACTACTCCCTGAAATCGAGCCCATTATCACTCAAGTGACCCTTTAGGACAGAGTAGAACTGCCCCTTTGGGTTTCTAAGACGGTAACTCTTAATGGGAATAGAAAGTCTCATCTTTCTCTGGCTCTGGGGCTGGTGGTTTTGAAACCATAACCTACTAAGCCACCAAGGCTTCTCTGATGGGGTTGCAAAACATAACAAGGGTAGTGTTGCCAAAATAAAACCTGATGAAATCCAAGTAAGGTCAGCGTTTGATGAGGTATATTGTATGTTCTTGGCTTTGATCAAAATGATTTTGTAAGGTGTGAACATTAGGGGAAGCTTGGTGAACTCTATGAACCATTTTTTTGCAACATTTCTGATAGTCTTAAAGTTTTCAAATATGTCAAAAATGATCTGAGTGTAAAGGCACAATCACACTGGACAAAATTAAGTGGATAACCACATTAGAGCCAAACTCCACATTTGCTATAGAGCATTAGCTTAATTCATGTTTTATTCTTTGGTCTTAGAAATCAGTCAATTTTGTTGTCTTTGACACACGCGAGTGAGACTCCTAGACCAGGCTGAGGGACAATGCTGAATCTATGAGTGTGGTCAGGTGACAGAGTTCTATTGACCTTACTCTTTGTAAAACAATTTTTATTTTTTCCAATTTATTTTATTTTGTGTTGTTGAGAACACACGTAGCAGAATATGCAACCATTCAACAATGTTTACATGTAAATCTGACATTGTTTATGTTCTTCAAGTGTTCCCACCATCCTCACCCTCCTTTTCTGAACTGTTCCTCCCCCTACACTTACTTCTAATCTATGGCATTCTTATTATTAACCGCATCCTCCCAAGCTAGTTCTTCGAAGAGCATATACTGCCCAAGGGAGAGAGAAGAGCATATACTGCCCAAGGGAGACAGTCTTCACTAATTAAGCTAAACTATTGTTTGGCTTAAAGACGTTAAGATTTTAGGATCTAGGCCAGTTAGGGTTGGATTAACCAGATGTTTTTATTTATTTTCAGGCAAGTTAACTTCTCTGTAGCTCAGTTATCTGAAGGACTATAATAGTATCCTGTTTATAGTTTTTATGAGTACTAAATGAGCAAAGATCTGGGGTTAGAAAGCCAAAAAGGGAGGAAACACTCAGCATTTATAAAGTTTAAAGAATTAAAGGAAGAATTCAGGCCTCTAGTTAGAATATGTACAGATTCTGTGGGCAAAATATGGAACGATGCAGGAAGCATCAAAAGAAGGTGGAAGGCATACACAGAGTCACTGTACCAAAAAGAATTGGTTAACATTCAACTTTTCAAGAGGTAGTATATGATCAAGAACCAATAATGGTACTGAAAGAAGTCCCACCGGCACTGAAGACAATAACAAAAAATAAGGCTCCATGAATTCGAGGCATCGTGATAGGAATGCTTCCATACACTGGTGAAGCACTGGAAGCACTTGTCCGTGCTAAGGAAATTTGGGAGAGATCAGTATTTGTAACCATTCAAAGAAAGGTGATCCAATAGGAGTCCTCCTCCATTTCTTTGGAAAGGGCAAAAAAATCAGATACCACCCAGTCATCTGATCTTCTGAATTTCTTGGCACAGACCAGTGAACCCCTCCAGCACAGCATCCGTTGGTTGAGACATTGCAATGGGTACTCCTTCAATTCCTAGATCCTTGTCCTTCATCAGTACCTTCAGTGCGGCTTGAACCCCTCCCTCCCAGCACTATTAGTTCTTGATCAAGTTCTACCAGATGCTTCAATTATTAGGAAGCAGCATCCAATCTCCCATGTTGAAAAAATATGGAATGCTTCATGAATCTGCATATTCACCCTTACTCAGGGGCTTTGAGAATCTCTGTATCATTCCAATTTTGGTATATGTACTGCCAAAGCGAGCACATGACCTTAGTCTTTTTGGATCTCATTTTCCTCATTCCCAAAAGGTAAGTAGACCCAATTTCAGGGACCCCTTTAAAGTTTTAAAATGTTATGGTGTTACTACTTCTTCTTCTTCTTTTTTTTTTTCAGTGCTACTTCCAACACCAGTGGCAGGAAAATGGACCTAGAGCAAAGTTGCCACAGAATGTTAAAGAAGAGTGCTAACTGCCAAGTGCGGCAGTGCAAGCTCACTTGCTGCACTGGGAGAGGAAGATGAGGCTTTCTCTTTCCATAAAGATTTACAGCCTGGGAAACCCACATGGGGCAGTTCCGGTCTCTCCAATTGGGACACTTTGAGTGGGCTGTGATTTTAGAGAGTGAGTTTGGATTTGGAGTTAATTGTCTTGTGAGAAATGTTTGCATGAAAGCCAGAGGCACTCCTAGAAATATGACCTATGTAACTAGGGAGATGTTCTGTCAGATGCTAGAAGCAGAATAAGAGGATAATCTAGGACCTCCCCTCTGTCAGTCACAGTGTAGTGAAAGACCGTTTTTCCCCATCCAAAGCAATATTGGTGTCTATCAAAGTAGGAAGTTGTGTAAATTATAAGTCACATTTTATTCAAGATTATTTATTCATACAATGCCTCCATTTTCGAGATGAGGAAATTGCAGAGCAATACAACTAACCGGTGGCTTTACATGAAGGTACAGTGATTCAGTAAAATAGGAATTGCTTCTGTTCCGGGTACCATAATAATAGTAATCATCATAACTATCACACCTTCAACTCATGCGGCACTTTTAACTTTTTAAAGGAGTTTCAAATCATTGTTCTTTTGTTCTTTCACACCCATTTTATGCTCCTGAAGTAGGTAAGGCAGATATGACTACTTCCTTTTTACAAAGCAAGGGGAACATGCTTGGGAACATTTACACATGGACCATCGATGGAACTATGTTCACAGAAGGCTCAAAAGTTCTCTAGAGGAAGAGGTTTGGCATTATTAGAGATGTATCGGGCATTTTGCCCAATTGTTTCTTCTGGCTGGGAGAATGTCTTTGGCCTACCGTTTGAGCATTCTCTTACTGAGGAGGATTCAGACTAAAAACAGAGATGTAGTATATGCAAAGGATCCCTGGTGGCACTAGCGGGTAAGCATTGCACTTACTAACTACATGGGCTGTAGTTCAAACCCATCAACCACTCCTTGGGAGAAAGATGAAGCTGTCACTTTTGTAATGATTTACAGTCTCAGAACCCTTATATAGGTTAGCTATGACTCAGAATCAACTCATTGACAGTGAGTCGTATATGCAAAGGCCATCATGGGAGAGCTTTTCTCAGGGCATCATGTGGATTCTTGTCAGTACTTCTCATTTTATTATATGTCCTCGCTTGAGTTTTTTTCTTGCCTTTTTGCTTCTATAGGTAGGCTCTGGAAACACTCAGTCATCTATGCCATGAAATTTGAAAGACAGCTACTTGGCCAACTGACTGTAGATATCCACATTTGTATCTATTCCAAAGAAAGGTGATCCAAGAGAATGTTGAAACTACAGAACAATATCATTGATATGGTAAGCAAGCAAAATTTTGCCGAATATCAGGCAACAGTGGTTGCAGCAGTACATTGACAAAGAACTGTCAGAGTTTCAGGCTAGATTCAGAAGAGGATGTGGAACAAGGGATCTCATTGCTGATGTCAGGTGGACCTGGGCTCAAAGCAGAGAATATCAGAAAGATGTTTACTTGTATTTTATTGACTGTGCAAATGCATTTGACTGTGTGGACCACAATAAACTTATGGATAACCTTGAGAAGAATGGAAATTCCAGACCACTGGATTGTGCTCACGAGGCACTTGTACATGGATCAAGAGGCAGTCCTGGGAACAGACTAAGGGAATACAGCATGGTTTAAAATTGGGAAAGGTGTGTGTCAGGCATGTATCCTCTCACCATAAAAATTCAATCTGCATGCTGAGAAAACAATGAAACTGGCTTATATGATGATGAAAGTAGCATCAGGTTTGGAGGAAGGCTTATTAACAACTTGCGCTACACAGATGACACAGCCTTGTTCGCTGAAAGCGAGGAAGACTTGAAGCACTTGCTGATGAAGATCAAGGGTTGTAGCCTTCAGTATGGATTGAGACTCAATGTCAAGAAGACTCAAATCCTCACAACTAGATTAATCAGTAATATCATGGTAAATGGCAAAAAGGTTGAAGTTGTCTAGGCTTTTACCTTGCTTGGATCCACAATCAGTGCTCATGCAATCAGCAGTCAAGAGCTCAAAAGATGTGTTTCATTAGGTAAATTGACTGCACAAGACCTCTTAAGAGTACTGCAGAGTGAGTGTGTTACTTTGAGGACAAAGGTGCACCTGACACAAACCATGATCTTTGCCATAGCCTCCTATGCGTGTGAAAATTGGATATTGAAGCAGGAAGACCAGAGAATAATCAATGCACTTGGTTTGTGATGTTGGGAAAGAATATGATGATACCACGGACTGCCAAGAGGACACACAAATCTGTCCTGCAAGAAGTACAGCCAGAGTGCCCCTTGGAGGCAAGGATGGCAAAACTTTGTCTTCGTTTGAAAATTCGGTCAGGAGACACCAGTCCCCGAAGAAGGACATCATGCTTGGTGAAGTGGAGGGGCAGCTAAAAACAGGAAGGCCTTTAATGAGCTGCATTGACATGTTGGCTAAAACAGTCAGGCACGGGCCCATCTGTGAGTGCGGCACAAGACTGTGGTGTTTTCTTTCTGTGGTGCATTATGGGTCATTATGGGTTGGAGCCAATTTAATGGCAACTAACCGCAAGAGCAACAACACAGGAAAACTGTCGTTACATTTGCTGGAACATCATTCCTACTCTGCTCAGTAGGCCAGTAACCTCAAGCAGGTTGCTTCACCTCCTTGAGCCATGGTTTCATTATTTGTAAATAGTTGATTATAGTGGTCTTTACCTCTCAGGATGCTGCTGCTGCTGTTGTGCTTAAATGAATTGATAGGAAGTACTTAGCACAGAGATAACTGTTCAATAGACATTATGTAGTGTCACAACGATTCATCAGCCTTATTTTAAAATCCAGGCTCAGCCTCCCCCAAATGACATATTTTGGCCCAGAGGAGGAAGCCATGTTTGGGGATGGCAAGACGCCTTTCTGCCCACTGGGATGGAGCAAGGAAACAGCACCATATGGGTTAGGATCAGCTTTTTTTCTCCCTTTACATGTTACCAACAGAGGCATTGCCTCAGGGGAAAACAGTTTTAAAGTTTAATTTCGTTAGATGTTTGGAGAGTGTCAGTCTCATGAACGGCTGATCCATTCCTGCGTCCATAGAAAGGGAAAAAAATCATTTCTGTGAGAGATTCTATTAGTGTTTTGCTATCGCACATTCTCACATTCCAGACTTCTTCACCTTTATGAAGCTTTTCAGATGATGTCACCAGGGCTTCCTAAGAGGTTGAATCTCAACTTTAGAGCGCAGTCTCTATTGAGTTGATTGCACTGCAAGCTCCTTAGAGACCATTTGGGGAAGACTTCGTTCATTATTTGCTCACAGCATGATGCCATTAGGCAAGACCATGTCTGTGACTTAAGCGCTTCCAGGGCTTTAGAAGAAAGTGTCAAGTGAGATGACAAGTCTTGTCTATACAGTGCTTCCTAATGTTCCTGGCAGAAATATTCTCCATAGGAATCTTTCCATTTGGCCAGCCTCTGGGCAAATACTATGCTTCATTGTTTCTGGGCACGCTAGGATTTCTTTCTGGTAATTTATCCCATTTGAGGGTTTTAATGGTCTTTGGAGTTTACAAAGCCACCTGCCTCTTCCTTTTTCTTTTATTCAAATCTGATGTTGTGAGGATAAGAGGAATTATATTGTTGTCTGTTTAAATGGCTCCAGAGAAATGGATGTATACTTGAATGCACTCCAACCCTTGATGCGGTTTCAACTACTAACCTGAAATATTACGAGAGGTTTGCAAAAGGCCACTTTCATACATGCTCCTGGCTACACCCAGGAAGGAAACATAGGTGTCTTATAGAAGAAAACTAGGGAGTGCATTTTATAGAGAACAACTCTTTCAGAAAGCAATATAATAGGTGGAACTGAGGCTTAGAAATAAATGTTTAAGAAACACCACCACCAACAATAAAACTAGGTGCTCTTTGGCTGCTTCTGTCTCCTGGCCAACCCCAGGTGTGTGTAGCCTGTGCTTCATGGTGTTTTTAGTTGCGCAGTTTTTTCAGAAGGAGATTGCCAGAGCTTTCTTCTGAGATACATTTTAGCTAGTAGTCAAATATGTGAGCAGTTCATAGGATACAACCTCCTATGAAGTTTCAGAGTCCCTCAGTGACTCCTGTGAACAGAGGCGGTTACTGTAATCAGCCCACATGGAAGAAGCACACCAGCTTGCTGCATCCAACGATTGCAAAGAATAAAATCCAAAAGAAGGAGCGGTATCAGAGCTTCCATTATGAAATTCTGGTTTGCAAAAAGCCGGGGAATAACAGTGGAGCCCAAAATACATTTGCAAGATCTACAAATAGAACAAGCTTCTGGTGATTTCCCTCCGACTAGAATCAGGAGTTGGGAATAGCCTGGTTAGAGATGATTATAGCAGATTCAAATGAAAAATCTGACTTGAATGATTAAAACCTTATCAGATGATCTACCTCTTGAAACATTTTGAGTTTGCTTGGTTTTTAATATTCTCTCTTTTCTTTCAGACTGGAGTGTACCTCTATTGCATTTTATAGCATTCTTGATTCTCTGTAATGTGTTTTCCTATATTTTATGGTATAGGAAACCCAAGATTGATGAATCTATAGAGAAAATAACTAGATTAGTAAGTGTTCGTGGGGGTACAATAGGAGAGGTGGGTGTGATGGGTAGCTGGTAACAAAGAGTACAAGAAGGAAGAAAATGTTTTGAAATGGATTGCAGTAGCAACTGCACACTTCTCAACACGACGGAACTATTAAAATGCGTGATGTCTGGA